TAGAGGTTTTCTGTACCCATTACTTCTTGTGCTGTAAAGCAGCAGATAATTGCATTTAGAGTACCAATATAGACAAATACCAGAGACTATTAATGTGTTTTAACACCAGGAATCTGTATTTGCTTTGATCAGGATTAGACAGGATAATCTGAGAGATACCAGCAGCCACAAAAGCCTTTGCTCTGGAGGTGATCTCATTGTTACTACTGCCTATGAAACTGCGTCAGTGTTATCAGCAATCAGAAGGTTTCCAGAAGAAAGCGTAGCATAGACACGGGTAAATGGATGAAGTATTCTCTTTCTCAGTTTCTTCAGAAAGCTGTTGTCTCACAGAATTTCTGCTAACATTATGGTATATATGCACAATGAAAGACTCCCTAGCAGTCCTCAGTACAGATGAGGCCGTTAGGGTATTTTAATCTTCAGGGCCTGAAAGCTCTCAACATCTAAAATACCAGTATTAAAAAATTAGGTAGTTGTAACAGCTGGAGGCATTCAGAGCATTTCTAGTGCATGACAATACAGCACATAAGAATAAAAACTGTCACATTTTCCTTGCCTTCTGCCTCTAATCCCTTCAAAATTACAAAGACAAAACAGTTCATAATGAACATCCCTTCTTCATTAAACTAAAACAGAGTATATGAGCTGATGGAAATAGACATGTAAGATGAGATTCTTGCATTCTGAGGAAAATGTCCATTTTTTACTAGGTTATGCATTGGATTTACAAATGTCTTTCTTTATTTCTTGTGGTTTCACCTTCATTTTACTATTCCATGTAACCCTTTTTTTCTCAATGGGTTTTTGTCGGGGGGGTGGGGTGGAGGTTCTTTTCAAAATTAAGGACTGATATTGCCTCACAAAAGAACTTTGCTTTGCCACTTGCAAAGGAAGTCTAGGATCCTGTTGTTTGTAGTTGTCTGGGAAGGAAGAAATTCAGTTTCCACTTAAACAAGTTCAGATGAAACCAGCAGATCCCTAAAGTCGGTATTTGAATTAAAGCCCTTTAGACATCACCTGTGAAACACTGGGTTTATGCCAGAAAATGAGTTTCTTGTTCCTCAGTGAGCTTTCAGTCAACGGGGGGAGAGCATACCAAGGAGCTTAGAGGAAAACATGTGGCATTATGATGTCTTGCCAAATTGCAAATAGAATGATAACTACATTAAAATTAATTTGCACAATGTGAAACTTGTACAATAGGGAAACTTACACTGTAGCTTGACTAGTGATTCTGTTTCAATGGTTCCTTGTGTTTTGATGGATCATGTTGTGTTCATTTATTTGGGTACCCCTGCTTCTATCTCTGTTGCCTCATAAGGTTGTGGCAGAAACAAAATGAGACAGTAGGATATCTGTGTCTGATGTATATTGAGTATAGTGCCAGAAGCATTGCAGTTGTTACTGTATCCTTAAAGATTATTACCCCCAGTGTCTATCAGAATTAAGAGTGGGTTGGCATAATATGCAGAGATATAAATTCTCTGAGGCAGCGCATAGAATTTTACAACCTAAGTGTAATAGGATGTATTGTGCCATCAGCAAAGGCTACAGAGTTCCATATGATTAAAATAAAAAAGGATCCACGAATATGCCTTTAACTACCATTTTAGCTGTAATAATTTTTGTCTCTTAGCATTTATATTGGCCGTCAGGAAGGAGACACGCTGCAAGCTGTGCTGTAATAATAATAATATGAATAACAGTAATTAATACTGTCTTCCCCTCCTCCACTGTGCTTACATTTTCATGCTTTCTTCTCCCAAAATAAAAATATTCTTGTTCTCAAGGTTCAAAGCAGTTTTCATGATAACTTGGAAATTAGTTCTGAAAATGTGTTACAATGCTGTATGCTAGTAAAGAGAGTTTTCACCACTAAATTCACATGAGGAAGACATCAATGTCCATTAAAAAGGAAAAAGCTAAAGACAATGAATCCCACAGGTGATTGGGTTCTTTTGGATTTTTTTCCCCCCACATTCATCTATACTTAGTATGCCCTTTCAGAGCCATAAATCTTGTCAGTACTGAGAGGTTCTTTAGCCCAAAGAAAATCCTTCTTTAGCTGTGGAACTAAATCTTAGTTGGTCACTATTTTACATTTAGGAAGAGTATTGAAGGAAAGTTAGTAATTAGTGCCCCTCTATATGTAAATCATATATATTATCCTTTCAGGAGGGGAAAGGTGGAGTGTGGAGAAAGGAGGAAGGAAATACCATATTTACTGGAATATAATACAGTAACTATAATATAATTATATTATATAATATATACTTATATAAAATATACTGGAATATAATATAATTAGCTTATATAATGTAATACAGAACCTTAAATATTAAATGATCCCCCAATAATTAGATCTACACCTGGAAAATTTATAAATGTATTATAATTATAGAATCTAATTATTGGAGATTAGCTTGACTCCTACCCTCTCCCCCACTACACCAGGAAAAATAAATCTCAAGGGTCAGGTAGCTCTCTTACCCTCTGCCCCACTCCCCCAAGTTTTAGCACAGATAGATAAACACAATTTTAAGCAGCACTTCTCTAACTACTTATATATAGTACAATCTATGTATGATCTTAGTCCAAAGGCTCATGATCTATCATATCATTCATTGAGCTGGGTCCCACCAGAGTCAACAGCATTTCAAGCCATGGTGACCCCACAGCTCAGCTCTGCTCAGTATGTGTGTGTATGCCAGATTCACCCCTCTCCCTTTCCTCCCCCCCTGCTAGCTAGGCCCCGTTAATGATTGGAACCAGGTATTCTTATTGTAAGTCCTGGGATCCTCCAAAAATGTATATGCAGATGAGATGTAGGGCAACCTGGTCCAGCTCCATTTCATAGAGTGTGGGGCCAAGCTAATCATTTGTGACAGGATGAGATAGGGTACGATAGAGGGATTCTAGGTGAACTGTCTGGGGGCCCTGTTTTGTGATGTTTGCCGGGCATTAATGGCTGGGGAAGAATCATTGGCATTTTTGTAACAATTGAAAAATTGTAACATGTGGTTTAGATGTGTCAGACGCCTACAAAACTTCATGTGTGTATGTATCATTGGGAATGGGAAAGAAAGGAGCAGGTCGTCTGTGGGAGTGAAGAGGAAGTTGAAATATATTCAGTGTACTGGCTCACCATGACTTGAAAAAGAATCGGTGCTGAGTGGGACTAAGCTCAATGGCCCCTACCAAATATCATACTCAGATAGGCTGCACTGACTTATCTTTGTGGTAGATTCAATATGTTTGTCCAATATGGTCCATGTGTTTTATAGTCATGCTCTGTACTGGCTATATTTACTTAACTTCATAGTTGGTTTCTATTCCTGAGCACATGCTGCCTTTGAACAATTTGATTGCAAAATGTCCAAATAACATATGTAGGAGAGAGGGTACAGGAGGGAAAAAATCTGAACCAAGGGGCGATCTGAGGCTGATGGGATTTAAAACAAAAATTAAGTAGGCATGATGGGTAAGGACCCCTCTGAAGTTGATGGATGGATCATGTCTTAATCTGCTTCTGAGGAGTTTGAGAGAACATTGTAAGACTGTTCTCCCTTTGAAGGCTTATTTTGACCACAGTTCTTGCTCTCCTTTTTATTTACTTGTTTTTTCCTTTTATCACAGCTCCTAGTTTCCTTCCTCTCCTCCCAGTTCCCAAATGATTTAGTTTCTCTTCTGAAGCAGCTTTATACTTTTTTAGTTCAGCTGTATGCAGTCTGGCATTTCAGATTCCACACGTATCCCACATGTCCTGCAAGGAAGAAAAATATACAGAGAGAGGAGTTCCAGGGCAATGTTCTTCTTTGTTATCACCAGTAGTTATTTTTAATTACCAAACACATCTGTATATGAATCTTTGCAATATTACATGTATCAGTTTTTAACGTATGGTGGTTACCTTAAACATGTTTCCTTTTTAAAGTAGGGCTGGCTTCAAGTTATATAGTTCAGATCCAAATGCGGATTTCAAATGCTCCACAGCAATGAGGTGTTCAGGTGGAGGCAGTTGGTATGGTCCACTATAAAAAGAATAAATATGTAACGTGGCTTAGATGTGTCAGATACCTACAAAACTTCATGTGTGTATGAATCTAGAATTTAGGTTTGGGTCCACGTATCTCTCTCAAAAATTGTTAGGTAGCACAGAGGTAATAAAAAAACATTTGTTGAGAGACCTGGAATTAACTAAATGTTATTTTTACAATATGGTGAATTCAGTAGATTATACAGTAGAGACAGATATCATTAATGGCAAGGATTTATGCTAGCCAGGGGCAAAAAAACCCTTTGTCCTTCCTTCTCTCTACAGTATCCCTTGTCAATATGAATGCTGACTTGCCTAGATTGTACATGACTCCTTAGATCTGGCGAGACTTGGACTCCATAGACTTGGAATAAAATCTGTGTGCTGGTTTTCAGTTCTGGAGGAAATAGTAGAGCTGGGAAAGAAGATTTGGGATGCTATTGCTTCTCCAGTGTGTCCGGGAATGATGCTTACTTTAGTACACCCAGCTAGCATAGCAGTGTGAGACATAGCACTGATGCAAATTTATGTTCTCTCCCACTCACTCACAGCCACCCACCAAGTCACAATCTTGAATGTACTCTAATCCTAAAACAGTGCAATTAAGTACTGTACATTATCCAGAACATGTAACAGGCATAATCAAGCCTTCTAGGATTTTCTAAACATCCATCTTAGTTTATTGGGTTGTTTGGAAGGTTTTTGCCAAAAATGTCGTGAGGCATTAAGAGAATAGAAATTCCGTTAGATGCCATTTAATCAGTTTCTTGTTTGTATCTATTTATGATTAGCTTGTGTGATGTAAAAAACATATTGTGCCAAGACTATGCAAGCCAATCTGTGTGTGTGGGAGGGGGGTGAGAGAGGGTGGGGTGGGAAGGGGTCGCCTTTCAACTTGTTCTTAGGAATGTACCAAAGGGAACAGCATACCTTAGCATTGCCTGTTTCTTTTCCCTTTTAGAGGTGTTCATGGCCATTCCAATGGTAAACGCCCATGGATATTAGCAGATGAGTGCATTGTGGAGCTTATGGCTAATATAGTTGGTATGTATGACTTGGAGAAAGAACATACTTTTGAGAGTGTACCTTTTATTTGTTTTCTTGTGCCTTAAAATCCAGAAACTTTGCCTCCAAACCTTATTTCTTCCACTGTTTTGTTTTATAACAGTCTTTCCAGATGTTCAGTACATGGAGTAATGCTTTATTTCAAGGCTTGATTTCAGAGATTTATGTACGCAGTAATGTATGACCACTTGTATATCATGAAACTAATTGCAGTGGGAGTTTCCAAGTTCATCATAAACCACCTGAACTAATGTATGAAGCTAAAATCCTTTTAAAGGGCAGTTGGCATCACTGAGATGTTCTTTTCAAAGGAGGGATAGAGTGAATCAACGATTGCTGTCTAAAGTTTTTCTGTTCTTCTTCCCCCATCTGGCATTGAAACCTGACATGTTTGATGCTTGTTTCTTTCATGAGAGTGGGCAGTCAGGGCAGAACTAGCTGCTGAAAAGAGAAGACTTGGTGATAATGCTTGTAAGGTTCAGTTCCTTGACTTCAGAAATCTGCCAGGCTGAAGGGCCCTAAGGAAAAACACACTTGGGCATCCCAGAGACAGAACGATAACTATAGACAGTGCTTCCTGGGGTCTCAGCATAGCCATACCCAATGAAGTAGGCTTAAGACAGAGTAATTTCTTCCATACATAGTTGCTGACTACCACAGTTAGGATAAGGGTGAAATGAAATGGTGTTTCATTTCTCTGCCCTCATGTGTTTTCTCTATATTATACCAAGAAGCTGAGGTTAGATTGGAAGTTAGCTGGTATCAGTTTTGCACCGGCTGTAGTTGACCCCCAACACTGACCAGCTAAACTAAGATACAAAGTTGTTAACCTGTGTCTACAGGGAAAAGGTTAGGTAATAATACATATTAATTAATCTCAATTCAACCTAGAACTTTTCCTACTTCAGACAAATGCACTGAGTGGGGAAACCAGGACCAAACAATAAAATAGGAGGCTGTGAATTAAGGAATCTGAACATGATGGAATGCTAGGAGAATATTAGAAAATGCTGAACATCTCATCAATGATTCCTTACAAAGTGGATTTAGCTGTTTGGAAGCAAATCTTTCATATATTCATAGATGCTAGGGTCGGAAGGGACTTCAACAGATCATCAAGTCCGACCCCCTGCCTAAACAGGAAAGAGCACTGGGGTCTGATGACCCAGCCAGATGCCTATCCAGCCTCCTCTTAAAGTTCCCCAAGGTAGAGGAGAGCACCACCTGCCTTGGAAGCCCATTCCAAATTTTGGCCCCCCTTACCATGAAGAAGTTTTTCCTGATATCTAGCCTAAAGCTGCTGTCTGTCAGTTTGTGACCATTGTTCCTTGTTACCCCAAGAGGCGTCCTGGTGAACAGAGCATCTCCGATCCCTTGTTGCATCCTCCTAATGAATTTGTAGGCAGCCACAGGATCACCTCTCAGCCTTCTCTTGTGGAGGCTGAAGAGGCCCAGGTCCCTCAGTCTCTTCTCATAGGATTTGTACTACAAGTGGCCCTCCTCTGGACCCTCTTGAGTCTATCAAAATTCTTTTTGGAGTACAGCACCCAAAACTGGATGCAGTACTCCAACTGCGGTCTGACCAATGCCTCATAGAGAGGAAGTATCACCTCCTTGGTTCTATTTGTCATCCATCTGCATCTAATGATTTCGTTACACTGATGACTCATGTCCATCTTAGAGTCCACTATGACTCTGAGATCCTTTCCGCTTCTGTGCTGCTGAGAGGGTAACTTCCCAGCCAGTAGGTGTGCTGAATATTTTTGCACCCTAGGTGCAGCACGCTGTACTTGTCCTTGTTGTACTGCATTCTATTGTGTACTGCCCACTTTTCTAACCTGTCCAGGTCTGCCTGCAATCGTTCCCTACCCTCTGGAGTGTGCACTTCACCCCACAATTTAGTTTTGTCCGCAAACTTGGACAGAGTACACTTTACACCCACATCCAAGTCACTGACAAAGATATTGAACAGTACAGGTCCAAGAACTGAACCCTGCGGGACTCCACTACCCACATCCTTCCAGGTCGATACTGACCCATCTACTCCCACTCTCTGGGTGCAACTGCTAAGCCAATTTGCCACCCACTGGCCTATGTAAACATATATGTCACAGCCTCTTAATTTATTTATGAGAATGGGATGAGATACAGTACTGAAGGCCTTGCTACAATTCAAGAAAATGACATCCACCTCTACTCCTGCGTCTAAGCATTTTGTGACCCTGTCATAAAATGAAACCAGATTGGTAAGGCATGATCTGCCTACTACAAATCCATGCTGGTTGCCCTGCTGTATTATTTTTCCCACTGGACTCCCACAAATATGATCCTTCATAATCTTTTCAAAGACTTTTCCAAGGATGGAGGTGAGACTGACTGGCCTATAATTATTCGGATCCTCCTTCCTCCTCTTCTTGAAAATAGGGACCACATTGGTCCTTTTCCAGTCCTCCAGGACCTGACCCGAGTGGCATGAGAGCTCAAACAGCCATGCCAGTGGTTCGCTATGACACCGGCCAATTCCTTCAGTACTCTTGGGTGCAGTTCATCTGGGCCTGATGTCTTGAACACATCCAGTCCATCCAAATGACTCTGCACCAAGTCAGTGTCAATAGTTGGTGGGCTGGTGTCCCTCTGAGAACCCATTAGGAGACTTATCTTGAGCCCTGTTCAGGAACACCGAGGCAAAAAACTCATTGAATAGCTCAGCCTTGTCCCCCCTATCTTTCACTAATTGCTCCTTCTTGTTCAGTAGGGGTCCTATGCTGCCCTGTGCCTTCCTTTTACTCCCTACATACCTAAAAAAACCCTTTTTGTTGTCTTTAATTTGTGTTGCCAGCCTCAGCTCTGTAGTTGCTTTGGCTTTTCTAACTGCCTTCCTGCAAGTGCAGGCCAAGTAGGTATACTCTTCTTTGGTAGCTTCCCCCTGCTTCCACCTCCTATATGCCTTCTTTTTTGCCCTCAGGCTCCCCTGGATTTCCCTGTTTAGCCAACGAAGTTTTTTGGCTCCTTTCCCTCTTTTCCCTCCTGCTGGGATAGTCTCCCTCTGTGCCTGAAGGATCGCTTCCTTTAGAAATGACCACCCTTCCTGGACTCTTATCTCACCAATACTCTTATCCTGCAGTGTGTCATAGACTCCTAAGCACACTGAAGTTAACCTTCCTAAAGACAAGCACTTCCACCCTACTAGTTATCTTACCCATCCTACACCATATGGTGAATTTGCTTGATTGGTGGTCACTGTCTCCAAGGTAACCATGAATCTGCAGCTCTGCTACCAGGTCCTACCCCATAGTCAACACCAAGTCCAGTAAGGCATTCCCCCTAGTGAGACCATATACTTCCTGCATTAGGTGACGGTCCTGCATGCAAATTAAGAACCTATGTGAATGGTTGGATTTGGCTGACTGCTCCTCCCAGCAGATGTCAAGGTAGTTTAGGTCACCCATGACAACCACATCCCTAGACTCTACAGCCTCTGAGAGCTGCCTCAAGGATTCCTAGTCTAGCTTTTCCTCTTGGTGTGGAGACCTGTAGCAGACCCCCACCACCAAGTCCCTTTCCCCTCAACCTCCATCCTAACACAATCCAATGCCTCAACTTTCTACTCCTCTGATCCCATTTTTATTAGGATAGATGTCGGTTCTAGGCTCTCTCCATCACCTGCTTCCCTGTCGTACTTAGTTTAAAGCCTGACATAGGAGGTCAGCCAACCTGTAAGAAAAGAGACTCTTACCTTTGCGGAGCAATGAAGCCCATCATGATCCAGGAGGTCCCTTGCATGGAAGTGCAGATCAAGGTCCAGGAAACCAAAACCTGCACAATGGCACCAACTCCGGAGCTGCAGGTTGACTTCTCTGACACAAGTGACATGATGCCTACTGCAACCGCTGACCAGGAGGATCGATGAGAAAACCACATGTGGCCCCATCTTCCTAAGCCTGGTCCCCAGAGCCCTGTAGTCACTTATGATATGGTCTGGACTACTCCTGGCCGCATCATTTGTTCCCACATGGATGAGGACCATGGGATAGTTGTCAGAGGGCCGGATGAGGTCAGGAATTCTCTCCGTGATGTCCCTGATCCTGGCTCTGGGCAGGCAGCAGACCTCACATGCTATGGGATCTGGACAACAGATGGGTTTCTCTGTTCCTCTAAGCAAGGAGTCACCCACAATAATGACGCAGTGTCTCTTCATCTATTTACCTGGCCAGCCCTCAGCTCACTTAGTGATGGCGGCAGGCCCCTCCAGCACACTTTCCCCCACCGCACACTCCTCCAGTGCATCCAGGGCCTCATATTTGTATAGTTAATTATGACAGTTATGATATCTTATGATAGTTTTCTTTTTCATTTCTCCCCTTTCGCATCAATTTTAACAGAAACTCCCTCAATTCTTAACAGCAACAAAGGTATAAACTTCAGAGCCTGTGTGAAGCCAGTAGGAAATAGAAGCTGGCATCTTGACCAGAAGGAGGCCCATCATCCCCAGCAGGTGCAGTGGTTAGAAACAGCAGCTCATATAAGGGAAGCATAGAAGTGGGCAGTGCAGCATAACAACCACCACTACAACCACTTGATATGAAAGAATTGCATTTTCCCCATTAGGAAGGAGGGATTTAAAAAAAAATAGGATCTATGTAGATAGTCAAATATAATATTTTCTGGGTAGAAGAGGACAAGATAGACTTTAAATATTTAAACATTCCTTATTATTGTTATTGGGCTGTGTTGCTCCTTCTATATATCTCTTTCTGTATCTTCTCTTCAGCAGGTCTATGATTGCTTTAGGTTTTTGGATATATTTTTTTTTAGTCTGACCTCTTATTTATCATATTATCCAATCAGAAAACAAAAACAATACCATGTGATTTAAGTAGCTATTCAAGTAGCTATGACTACTGATAAGGCTATTTGGGAGCAGCCTAGTAAGCCCTAATACAACTGGAAATCATCTCCCTTTTGTAGCTGCTGGATTC